TGCTGATCTCTCTGATAACTGTTTTATCAGAACTTTAAAGCACTGAGACCTGAAGTTTTTAAGGTTCCTCTCTTCAAGATCAAGGGAAAACTTTAAAAAATGTGTGTGTGTGTGTGTTTGCATATAAAATATATAAATGCACATACAGACAGGTAAACATTTGAACAAGTTTCTGCAGAGAACTTATCAAATTATTACTGTAAATATCTTGAAGGAGAGTTTCCGAGGACTCTTTCTAGAAAAACTATACAGAAATTTTGCCTAAGTCCATCCCAGTGGAGATGGGTCTGGAGAATATCCAGGTCCTAAATATGGCTTTTCATGAAGACATGTCATAGCTGTTTAGAAAGTGGGGTAGCGCTACTGCAGTGAACATATTTAAGAACATGTATTTAGATTATTTCCAAGATGGTCTTCACTTATTTAGCACAATCCTCTCCCTCTTGCCCTTTTTCACCATTTGTATGACTAGATTTTTTGAGACTATCTGTGCTCAGCTCTTCCTTCAGTCTTTGTGTATCCATAATTAATTTGTCCATAATCATGATTAATCATTTTTTAAACATATCAAGTATATGCACTGCTCTTCTGTAGATGAGACATTCCTACTGCAGAATATCTGCTGAAAACAGATGAGGACTTTAGACATTTTATTAGTTTTATTAGTTCATATTAGGTCTGTGACAAGCAAGGCAATTACATTAAACACCAGGTAACTTAAGATATCTTGTTTTAAAAGCAAACGAAGGGAAAAAAATTTAAATTTTACTTAGTCTTCCCCAAATTTGGAGGCCCGCATGCAAGTTTCTTCTACAGTTTGTGACCTGTAATGAATACAGTTTGACAGAAACAAGATATACTGACTGATAGCAGCAGGGAACAGAAACACAGTGTGCATTCTCAAGCAGCCACATTACTGGCGATAAAGGATCAGCAGCCCTTTAGATCCAGTGAATGAGGATACAAAGCTAGGGGTAGCATAAAAATATAAGCAGCAGTGACATTTTAAAAGAAACTATTCCTGTATGGTCTTGTCCATAGCCATAACTCTAGAAAAGAGCTTCTTTTCTAATACACCCTCCAGGATTAAAAAGGCATCGTTATCATGCTATATATTAAAATTAGTATTTCTTGGCATTGGATAGTTTCAGATCAGGGTTCTTATGGCCTGGACATGATTCAAGTAAGCAGCTTCTCCATTGGGTAATTTAGCCTGCTCATGTGTCTGGTAGCTAAGATTTATTACCTCATCATTTTAGTTAAAATTTACAAAATTAGCTTTGGACAGTGGAGGGGAACATCAAGAGCAGTTGCAGCACCACTACCGTATAATGGAGAAGTGAAACAAATTTGAATAGAATAATTCTTAACTGCTCTTTATCTGTAGATTAAAAACAAATAGACACAATTAAACCCCAGGGACAGGAATAAGACTACCTGCACTTTCTGAAACCTCCCTACAGCAATGATTTTAGAGTACAAATGGGATATTTTTACTTACTAAAGAGGGAATTTGATAAGCATGCTAGTTAAAAAGGCTGAAAACAGCGAAAAATTTCTTTATCAAAATCTGTACTTAACAACACAATCTTAATTATATATGGAGCTTTTAACATACAGTGCTTTAAAAAAGAGTTCAATATTGCTATCTCCCACTATGAGCAAGGAAAAAGATAGATGTGGAGATGAAGTGTTTGTTCAATTCACAAGTACACTGGTAGTAAATCTGGGAAAAAAATACAATTATCCTATTTCTTAGTGTTAGGAAGGAAGCACCGATTAGTCCAACCTACAGACTGTTTGCCTCCCAGTATCCCCAGTGATGTCCTGTACAGCTCCTAAAAATTCCCAAGACTAAGGAAGACCTACATGGCATTTCATTTTCCTCCCCCTACTTTTTATTCCCAGGACATGCCAAGGAGGAGCCCTTGGCAATTCTACTGTGGTCACTGGTGTTTCTGACAAGTCATAGCAGAGGGTATTTTGATGCATTTTGGCATGTCTCCTGGAAAGACAATAAAGAGGCCTTAGTTGAACCAGTATATAGGAAATGTGAAAGAAAATTCCGTAGAATCAGTTGAATTTTCTTTCTACAGGCACATTTTAAATTATCATTTTTACAGAAGCCAACTAGATACAATCCAGACCCCACTGCTGGAGAAAGCTTGCACTATATTGCTCTCAATATACAAAAGATTCGGTGGAGTTCCTTTCTCTCTCTGCTTCTATCTAAGGTATTTGAGTTGGCCCTAGGAGGGGGACATTTTGCCCTTATGTTGTTCACTGCTCTAATCTGTTATCCTCGAGAACGGGAGGGCACCAGATCACTGTGCCAGTTACCCTCCCAAATCTCTAATTAATGTTGACAGTAAAATATTAGCCACAGTATTAACTGCCAGATAAGAAAGAGTACTCCTGAGGCTTGCACATCCCAGTCAAGTGGGTTTCATTAAAAAGAGACTCATTACCAATAATACCAGACAATTGCAACATTTTCTTAAACTAGCACTAAAATAAAGATGAGTCACTTATCTCTGTACTGCTAAAAATAGTGATTTGTTTCTCTTCCCTCCATTTCATTCACTCCCACTATCCTTCAGTCAGATGTAAAACTTTCTTTTTTCTGCTATGGGAGGAAGGAGAGGAAAAAAACAAACACCCAAAGCTCAACAACTCTGTATTTAGGCTAAGTCACTCTGCAACATCGCAGCGTACGAGTTCCAAATATAGATGTACCCATCAGCTCCTCCAAGCAGTAGCATGACCTACACTTCCTTCAGCCCCAGAGGCACATCAAAAGTTGCACTTGTGAGAGAGAAACCCTGTGGCCAAAAATGCAGTTAAAGCTTGGTTCTTCCCATAGCTTCCAAACAATTGGTTTTATTTCAGTTACCTGCATTGCAGTGCACAGTGTCAGTATATTTACAGTACTGTTTACATTAATACCTGATCCAACAATCATCCTGCAAATATAGCAGAATCATTCCAGGGATATTAAGGGAGAACATTGTTTTGCAGCAGTGCAATGTTAAAAAGCTTCCTTGCTCTGAGCATGTCTTTGCAATAAAATTCATGGGTTTAGCTTGTAATATCCTGGTAGTACATGTGCATCATGATAAAAATAACACAGACATCTTCCGCAGACTCTCAAGTCCAGAGTAACCCAAGTCCCAGTCACACATCATCAAGCAAACTTCAGGTACGCTCAGAGAAACAAAATGCCTCCCAGGACACTTTACCCCTACCAAAACTTCCAAGTTTTTGCTCTTTCCTCCACAACTTGCCAGTCTCCCCACCCACAGTATGTCTTTTTTATGGCATTACAGATACAATTGTATTTAAATAAAGCAAGCATCTTCATCTAAATGTTAAGGAAATATTTATCAGTCTCACCCTGTACAGTGTTTACAATGTTTTTTATCTTCAGGCTACATTAGGATTTGCTGTGAAATGGTATTTGGAATGACTTGTGAATCGCTGCCAAATGTGGTTGCACCAACCATATTGCAAAGCTTTTCACAGCAGTAATCATGGGGTACTTCTGACAACTGGTACAGAAGAGCAGTAAAAAAAAAGATGGTCTGTTCTTTTCTCACTTAATCCCTTCTGTTGAAGCACTCTTAAAAATCAGAATAAAATATGAACTAAGATAACAGATGCCCTTAATGAGGCCCTCTGTTACTCTACTAGAGTATCTCTGAAAAAATAAAATATATAGATGCTGTTTCAGCGACTAAGACAATAGAACTACAGAGAGCAGAAAGTTTGTGATTCTTTGGGGCAGAGGGTTATCATCAGACAGGAAGGAATAGTTGGTGCGCTTGGAGGCAATGATACAAGTTGCAGAATACTAAGATATCATCTGTCTCCACTTCTCAGCATACTTCTCCTGA